TTGGACAAAATGTGAAGTCTATGTCATATTTTACTATGTGCCGATATACTCCTTTCTTCCTGGCCAATGAGGAAGTCCGAGAGGGCCGGTCGTGATTGTACTCTGGCTTGGATAAGCGTACATAGAGTCAGTCAGCAATGGAGAACAAGAAGCTTTCATTGCAGATCATGGAACCCCGTAGCGGCATACAACACGGAAGACTGGAAACACCTGTTCATGGTCTGCACTATCTAGTAGTGATCTAATGAGTGTCTTGTAGTCTACCACAGGCTAGTATATGTGGGATGGACGCAAAAGCAAAAGCAATAAGGACACCCGCGGTTCATGGGCGCCATTTGAATGTTATTTTTTTTCAGCAGAGAAAGACATAGTACTGTAAGCCTTTGCATTCGCATAATAGTATAGGAAAACCTAGTAGGAAAAACCTATACCAAGGCTCCGCATCAAATAAAGTTGCAAAATAACGCAGAAAATAGATCCTAATAGTATGTGATAAACATCAGACTTGTTAGATGATTGCCGCCATATTAAGACTTTACCTTCCCAGATGTATCGCAGATTAAGTGGACCATGAAAAGGACAAGATGAGTTACTAGGATAATTCAGAAAATACTCCTAAAGTCATTCCTGAATATCAAGAATCACTTACAGCCTATCCATATCCCATCACAGTCAGCCCTGTATCATTCAAAGTATGTTTCCTTGGAAGATTAACCACTTACCTCCTATCCATATCCCATCCTAGTCAGCCCTGTACCCTTCAAAGTATGTTTCCCAGGAAAATTAACCACTTACCTCCTATCCATATCCCATCCTAGTGAGCCCTATACCCTTCAAAATATGTTTCCCGGGAAAATTAACTACTTACAGCCTATCCATATCCCATCACAGTCAGCCCTGTATCCTTCAAAGTATGTTTCCTTAGAAGATTAACCACTTACATCCTACCCATATCCCATCACAGTCAGCCCTGTATCCTTCAAAGTATGTTTCCTTAGAAGATTAACCACTTACTTCCTATCCATATCCCATCACAGTCAGCCTTGTACCCTTCAAAGTATGTTTCCTGGGAAGATCAACCACTTACAATCTATTCATATCCCATCACAGTCAGCCCTGTATCCTTCAAAGTATGGTTCTGGGGAAGATCAACCACATACTGGCTATCCATATCCAATCACAGTCAGCCTGGTATCCTTCATAGTATACCTTTAGGGAAGATTAACCACATACTGGCTATCCATATCCCATCACAGTCAGCCCTTTATCCTTTAGACTATATCTTCAGGGAGATCAACCACTTACAGCCTATCCATATTCCATCACAGTCAGTCCTTTATCCTTCAGACTATGTCTTCAGGGAGATCAACCACTTACAATCTATTCATATCCCATCACAGTCAGCCCTGTACCCTTCAAAGTAGATTTCCTGGGAAGATCAACCACCTACAACCTATCCATATCCAATCACAGTCAGCCTGGTATCCTTCAGAGTATACCTTCAGGGAAGATTAACCACATACTGGCTATCCATATCCCATCACCATCAGCCCTTTATCCTTCAGACTATGTCTTCAGGGAGATCAACCACTTACACCCTATCCATATTCCATCACAGTCAGCCCTTTATCCTTCAGACTATGTCTTCAGGGAGATCAACCACTTACAATCTATTCATATCCCATCCTAGTCAGCCCTGTACCCTTCAAAGTAGATTTCCTGGGAAGATCAACCACCTACAACCTATCCATATCCAATCACAGTCAGCCTAGTATCCTTCAGAGTATACCTTTAGGGAAGATCAACCACATACTGGCTATCCATATCCCATCACAGTCAGCCCTGTATCATTCAAAGTATGTTCCCTAGGAAAATCGACCACTTACTAGCTATATATATCCCATCACAGTCAGCCCTATATCCTTCAAAGTATGGTTCTGGGGAAGATTAACCACTTACACCCTGTCCATATTCCATCACAGTCAGCCTGTATCCTTCCAAGTATGTCTGCAGGGAAGATCAACCACTTACAGCCTATCCATATTCCATCACAGTCAGCCCTTTATCCTTCAGACTATGTCTTTAGGGAGATCAACCATGATCAACCACTTACAGCCTATCCATATTCCATCACAGTCAGCCCTTTATCCTTCAGACTATGTCTGCAGGGAGATCGACCACTTACTAGCTATATATATCCCATCACAGTCAGCCCTGTATCTTTTAGAGTAGGTTTTTAAGGAAGATTAACCACTTACAGCCTATCCATATTCCATCACAGTCAGCCCTTTATCCTTCAGACTATGTCTTTAAGGACATCAACCACTTACACCCTATCCATATTCCATCACAGTCAGCCCGTTATCCTTCAGACTATGTCTTCAGGGAGATCGACCACTTACTAGCTATATATATCCCATCACAGTCAGCCCTGTATCCTTTAGAGTAGGTTTTTAAGGAAGATTAACCACTTACAATCTATTCATATTCCATCGCAGTCAGCCCTGGTCTTAAAGACAAAGCAAATTATATATTATTATGAGTTCCGACCTGTCGTTTCCCAACTCCAGTATCACCTTTAGAAACTACCTTTATCATCGGCTGCGCTGCAGCTGACGCCGCCAAGGTAAATGTGAAAAGGGTGGCAAATAGCTTCATCTTGGTAGCTTGTCTGTTGTAGTATAAAGATTCTGTAGGGCGCCCACACAAACCGGTCTCGTATGGACTTCAAGGCAGTAGAATAAATTTAACAGGCCAATTATTGCGGACGGTCCATGTAATAAGGGGCGAGAGATGGTGCACACATATTCCTCTACTACGTACTTCATCCCACTTCAACATAACAAAGTCTTATCTCGAGAATATCCCTTACATCTAAAAATATCCAAATATGCAGATCACTCAGACACTTGATCAATGTATATCATTAAGCTCGTCAAGGCACATTGGAATGCCCAAGACCATTGCCGAGCCGGGATATGACCTTTATCTGTTTAATTTGATGCTTCAGTGGATAGTCTCCATAAAATAAGCAAAAGTTTCAACAATAGACAACAATAGACAACAATGGATAGTAATGGACAATATTAAGGTTCTGGCATTGATAAAACCAGAAGAAACTGAGATAAGCAATGCGGATTACAGAATTTAGTGAGTCACCAAGTCTTTGAACGCATCGCGCCCGCTGGCATTCTGGGGACCCGCCTGTGCGAGCGTTATTGCTGCCCTTTCGAGCCCGACTGGTGTTTTGGTTCGCCATTCTTCCCCTTGGGGACGGGCCTGACGGGCAATGGTGGCACCGTCCGATGCCCGAGCGCATGGGCCTTTGTCACCCATTCGATCAAGTTCAGTCAGGCGCCTGCCAGGGTCCCCCAGCCCGTTCGAGGTTGAACCCAAATTAGGTATGGATACCCGCTGAACTTAAGCATATTAATATAGGGAGAACGAGAAGCCAACCATAATTGCTCCAGTAACCACGAGTGAAGTGTACAGTAGAGGCTTAGTACTTGAAATCAGGCCCCTGCAAAGTCTGAGTTGTAGTTCGCAGAGGATACTCCAAGAGTGGCTCCTGCCTGAATGTCTTGGAGCGGACTGTTAGAGAGGATAAGAATCCCGTCCTTAGCGGGTGTCCACGCCCGTGTGAAGCTCCTTCGACGGATCAAGGTGTTTAGAGATGCAGCTCATCGTCATGAATTAATTTTGTAACCAGGGTCATGCCACTTCAAAGTTGCAGGTACAGGTATCCCTTCATTCCTAGTTAAGGATACTGTATCTTGCCCCAGTGTGAGAAATGTACATTCCCTTCCACTTTTAGGAACTTTGCTATGGTGATTGAACTATCACTGTATTATAGACTCTTTATTCACATTCTCCCCATGGTATCCGTAGCGACCAGATCAAATCGTATGCGTACAACATATTAACAACCAGCAACCCTGGTGACAGGCTCTGGTAGGATAAAGCAGGCTCTGAGTCAAATTATAGGATCGGAATATAAGCCATCAGATTCCTCCCCATGTTCTTGGTGTCTGATATTATAGCTTTCTGATAAAAAGTGCTAGAGCAGATTCTGCTTGGCCGTGAATGTAAGGCAGCCAAGACCTGGTCCAGGAAGACAAAGCTAATAACTATATATTTAGACAATGCGGCTATTGATCATATTTCTTTTGACAGTTATGGCTGTGATGGCCTCTCCGGCTGTTCTCACATCACGGGATGACGGCTGCAATGCTGGCAGCAAACTTTCATGCTGCGATGAAGGTCTCTGTATTCCTCTTCTGTCTTCCACTATTGGATGCCCGAGAGCGAATGCGCGCTGCTGTGATGTTACTGCCCCGGCTGTAAGTTTCTTTTCCAACCCCCAGGCGATAGCTGAGCTCTGCAGCTCCCACGCTGGATATCATGCTAAATCCTCTTAGAGCACATTTTCAATTTCTTTACTCAACTGTCTGTCGCTCTGATAACATCCCACCTTATATCGCTTTCATTCCCGTCAGTCAGTGGACCAGGAAGACATAAGTGTCGCGCAGGGCATTGACTAGTTTGCATGGAAGCTTCTAGGTATTCGCGTTTTTATTGCTACGGGCGGTACAGATCATCCAGACAGCATAATTTTATGCGTTGTATCATCTTAGCGAGCATATTACGCGAATTATGGCTGATCCGAATCTCTGCCCAATCAAGCTTAGTCCTAGGGCTCATAATAAAGGAAGAGTATAAAAATTAGCGCCGTTTTTGCAACCTAGTGTAAAGATTGGATTGCAACCAGCTGTACTCCCACCGAACTGTAACTCAGGAGAACGGGGTTCTGCTAGGTTTGTTGATATCAATCGAACGTTGAATATCTGAAAGCGGGTAACTGTGTGCCGAGCGGGAGCTAACCCGGACCGATGGCGGCCCCCCCCGAAGGCAGCGACCCTTAATGGCCACCCACTAACACGCCAGGGGCGAGCACCGAAATAACCACCAGGATTCCTCACCACCTTCCGACTTTAGAAGGGTTATGAGGCAGTATAAACGACGGAAAGATGGAACCACAGCGACAGAAATTACTCGAGGACCAGTCTTTGAGTTCTCAGGCAGTGGAGAGGGAAGACCAACAAATCCCGAGGAAATATTGCGGGTGATCGTGGACCTAAGGGAGATTATAACGCAGCAAAGCAACACTATTCAGAAAATAGCTGCAGACCTAACTAAGATCAAGGCTGACCAACAACACCTAAAAAGCCAAAATGCGGACCTGCAGGAAGAAGTGCTGGCCCTAAGAACGAAGCTCAACACGTTGCTGGGAACAGGACTCAGATCATGGGTGGAGGTGGCAGCCCGCGAACCCCCGCAAGGACCCAACGCAGTCCCTAGACCGCCCAAGAAAGAACTTAACTGCGTCTGAATCAGCACACGACGAGCCCCTGATGATGACGAAGACGGAAACAACTACTTCGGAAGATACCTCCCAACAGACATGGCCAATGCAAAAATTAGATCGGCTGTACTGAGTGCGGACCCCACCAAAGATGCATAAGTGGCAGGAATCGGCACCATAAAGACAGGATATGTGATTAGGTTTAGGGATACTCAATCGGCTGAAAAGGCCCAGAACCACACTGAATGGTTGCAAGCACTAGGCAACAATACTAAGTTGGTTAAACCCTGGTTTGACCTGGTGGTACACCGCACACTAACTAAAGACTTCAACCTTGAAGGAAATAAGAACCATAGGATAGACAAGCTCATAGAAGAAAATAACCTCAGTAGCAAAGGATTCTAAATTGAGGACATTACATGGCTAAAGAAGAAGGATCACCCCTTAAGGACATTAGTGTTACTAGGTATATGGCTAAACACCCCAGAAGCAGTAGAATACCTTATTAGCAATGGACTACTGGTAGGATAGAGGTATATTAGGAGCATCAAACCATATTAGATTAACCAGAAAAGGTGCCACTATTACCAACAATTCAGCCATCTAGCCTGGGCCTGCAAAGAACAGGTAAGGTGCGGATACTGTGCTCAGCAACATGAACACTATAACTACCCTTAAGAAATGAGACTAAGGTGCCTGGACTGTGATGGAGAACATCCTACTGGAGACTAGAGGAGCTAATTACCTAATCTCACTCTATTACAATGAGATCCATAAATCTTTATCTACTACAGCTAAACATCATAAAATCTAGGGCAGGAATGGAGACCCTTATTAATGATCACTAAACCCAGAACCTCAAATACACTCCTAATCCAAGAACTGCTAGTCACTGTGTACCACACCCATGTGAACCACAGCACATAGCGACTCTATTAACTAATATATGCTGACAGCAGTGAGACTCCACAGCCTCCTCTATATAAATAGAAGGATCTTGACTTCATTACATCGCCAGATTCCCTGTAACCATCCAGATGTTATTACAGCCAAGATATAGACTCCTAAGGTATAATACCTCCTATTCTCAGTGTACATCCAACCTGTGGCAATATACTAACTGGTAGATGTGACCACTGCCTAACTAATACTAGAAGAGATCTAAACCAGCATCCAGCAACAGTCCATGGGTATAGAGAAGGTGATAAAGCTCATTATCTCTGGGGACTTTAACTGCTATTACCCAGCATAGAGCTATCGACCGGTCCACCATACCTTTGCAGAACATGCAGAAGAGTTAATTAATTCTTCTAAAAATAGGAGCTCCAATAGTGCCTACCCCAAGGCACACCAACCTTCTGGTCACTAAGCAAGCCAGGAAAAGTGTCAACCCTAGACCTCACATTAACTAACAACCCAGTGAATCTCATCAAATGCCACCTCTACCACGACCACTATAGATCAGACCACCATAGAATGTTCTCCGAATGGAACCTACAGCTAGAGCACAGTGTAGGTCCAAAACCAAAGAGAGCATATAAGAAGGCCGACTGGGTGAGGATTAGCTGAAGGATACTAGAAGAGATGGGTCTATTACCCAGGATCCACTTAAACTCAGATCTTGATAGAGCAGCTAAGAGACTTAGTAAGTCTACTTCTACAATCATTAACTAAGAGATCCCAGCACAAAAGCTATCACCCTACTCTAAGTAATGGTTCACCTCAGAGCTTAAGGCCCAACAGATTGAGGTAAACTAGGCATGTAGATGATAGTAGGGCAGCTGCGCAGCCCTGGGCATTACCTACTTAATAACTGCGGCTCTCTTCCCAGACGTGCAACAGAAACGCTAGGAATGGACTAGGACTGTGGAAAAGGCTAAGGCCATGTATTAGAACAATTCCTAGTTGAGGCTAAGGAAGGACAGCTGTGGAAGGCAGTGACATACATGCAACTAAGGGAATCCTATGCCAGCATTCCACCTCTAAAAGTAGGTGCAGAGGAAGTCACTAACAATAAAGATAAAGCCAAGGTGTTCCAAGAAGCCTTTTTCCCTAAGACAGCACAGGTAGAAGAAGAAGACATAGTGCCAGCCCCAGCAGGAATACCATGGGATCTAATCACTAAAGAAGAGATCTACTGGTCTCTTAAGGCTGCTAAAGGGACCACTACTCCAGGGGAGGATGAGATACCCACCCTAGTTTAGAAATACCTATGGAAATACCTCCAGACAGTAATCACCCACATCTTTGCTAAACTAGTGGAACTTAGGTACTATCCTAAGCAGTGCAAGCAGGCACGGATAGTGGTCCTGCGGAAACTGGGTAAACTGGACTATATAGTACCCAGGGTCTATTAACCTATATCACTACTAAATACCCTGGGCAAATTACTGGAGGCAGTTATGGCATAGAGGCTGTCATTTTAGACAGAGACCTATAAATTGCTTCCAGAAACACAGTTTAGAGGCAGACCAGGGTGTAATATAGAATAAGCACTCCTAGTGCTCGCAAATGCAGTTTACTAACTATGGTCACAGTCTAAAGTGGCCACACTTATTACAATTAACCTTAAAGGAGCTTTTAATGTGGTTAATAAAACAAGCCTTAATACCTGCCTGCAAGCTAAAGATATCCTAACAGAAGCCAGGGTCTAGATCTGCAGCTTTATAGAGGGCTGACACACCAGCATCAACTTTAATGACTTCCAGACAGAGGTTACTCTTCTAGAAAATGCAGATCTCGCGTAAGGATCACCACTGTCCCCAATCCTTTTCAGATTCTTCAATTCTGATCTGGTAGATCAACCAGTAGACAACTATGGCGGAGTATTAATGTTCATTAATAACTACTTTCAATGGTGGGTGGGTGCTTCTGCAGAGGATAATCTCAAGATGATCTAAGAAGAGGATATCCCCTAGATTAAGGCATGGGCCCGGCGAACTGGTTCCTCTTTTACTATAGAAAGATGGAATTAATCCACCTGATAAGATCTAAAAAGGAGCAAGGAGTCAGGCAAATCATCATGAATGGGAAGGTCATTAAACTAAGCAGCATAGTAAAGCTGCGAGGCATCATCTTTAACAAAGAGATGTGATGGAAAGAACACATACAACATGTAATTAAATGGGCCACTAAAGTTAACATTACACTCAGTGGACTAAGATACCTCTGCCTGGAACAGATGAGACAGCTCTATTAAGCATGTGTGATGCCAGTGGTTGACTATGCATCCACCATTTAGCATAACCTGCTTAGGGTAAGACCTACCTAAGGCTGCTTGGAACAGTCTAGTGAACAGTACTGCTCCGCGTCCTCCAGCATTCAGAATAGTCTAGACCCCAGCACTTGAAGTGGAATCCCACATGCTGCTAACTCTGCTTTAACTTAGATAGCAAGGCTAGATTATGGCTGCCAGATTATGGCTGCCAGTCTCAGCATGCTGCTAGAAAGCCACCTAACACATAGTGTAATTAACTGAGTGAGAATACGCAGCACTCACATAGGAATGGGCTCTTGGTTTCCCCTAACAGAGACCGTGTGGACGATGGACCTTTCCCAGCTCTAAGCTCTGGAGAAGATCAACCCTACGCCCCTAGCACCATGGTGGACTTTAGTTTTCGCTGAAATGGATATTAAATCAGATAGAGAGAAGGTGAAGGAAAAGGCCTCCGCCAGGCAGAAGGCAACTGGTGTTATAGTATTCTCTGACACATCAGACTAACAGGGCCATCTGGGGCCGCAGTAGTAGCCCTCAACCCTAGAGGAGGCATCATTAAGTCCTGGAAGATCTGCGTTGGTTCAATGGAATATTGGTTAGTGTATGCTACAGAGCTCATGGCATTATATTATGCTATTAGTTTAGTCTATCAGATCTTACTAGAAAAGTAAGAGGCCCTAGGCACCAGCCGCGAGCCAGCAACTCTCCTGACGGATAGCATGTCCATACTATAAGTAATAGCAATTCATGGAATAAATTAGGGCAGCGCATCATCCAGGCCTATCCTCTAATCTGCCAGGGAGTTAAACATGCATAGAGTTCCTGTCCATCTCTAATGGGTCCCAGGCCACAGTAATAACCTGGGAAATGACACAGTAGACTGCCTAGCCAAAGAAGCTATTAGCCCTGACAAGATGCACCCTTTCTAGCACCTTCTCTCACGGGAGAAAGGATACATCCGCTGGAAAATCCAGGTATAATGGGAACAAGAATGGAAAGCATCTAAGAAAGGGGAGCAACTCCGCTAGATTAATATGACTCTACCCTCAATCTACACGCGGTGGATGTATGGATCACTACTACAAAATCAAGCCTACTTACTCACGCAACTCCAAACCAGCCACTCATGGCTGGCGACGCATGGTAAACGGCACCAGTTCCAGGAGAATAATAAGTGCGAATGTGGAGCTAAAGAAACAGTAGTCCACGTGCTAGTGGACTGCCTGAAGCTGAAAGATTTGCACAACATACTACAGAGGAAGATCGGAAGTGCATTCAATAATGTCTCAGATATGCTGGGAGGGGCACTGCATGGTAAGCAGGGTGAGTTAAACAAGACCGCGCATGACGGTAGTATCCTAGGTGCTGTACTGGACTTTGCGGAGGCATTAGAGAGGTTTTAAAACCACAGGCCAAAGAGACCGCAGAACAGAACAATAGGCACTTAGGCCACTATAGGCCAAGACGAGGCTCTAAATTCGTCAGGATGGAGTGGTTAACTGTAAATTAAACATAGATAGAGATAGCCTTAGTGGATATCCTGCATATCGCCTAGGCGAGGGGTCAGGGTATGATTCAAAAAAAAAAAAAAAAAAAAAAAAAAAAATGAAAAGAAAAGTGTAAAGATTGGCCATTTCAGAAACGACTCTGTCTCTGATCGTCATTGGTTTGTTATTGGCATGCTTGTCAGAGTGTCCGCGAAGGCGTTGGTGCCGCGTCCAACCATCTGACAGACCATGGTTCCCATACTCTTTGGGCGGATCTTGGTTTCTTCAAGCAGCACCACCCAAAGAGCTGCTTGAATACTTGCGCCCCAGCACGATGTAGAGGTGTTTGCCGATTATGGGGAAGTTATACTGTAATGCTTGATGTCAGATGCTAATTAACCGTGGGCAATTTATGTAACCAAGCTTGTTGTAGAGTGTTCCTTTTATTAGGAGTAGGGATAGGGTATCTAACAGCACTGGTCTGCCGCTTCTTTGGTAGTGTGTACTAAGCTTTGTAGAAACTTATTTTCTCAGCGCAAAGCATCACAATTAATCTTGATGCTTTGTAAGTCCAGCTGCATGATGGCAAGATCTAGGATCCCCCCCAGAGATTCTCCTTCTCCTTGTACCTGTGCTTCCTTCATGTCCTTGCCCATATAATAGGTCCGAACCATGGCCCACATCTTCTCTAGGAGATTGAAAAGGATTTTAAGAAGGCCTCTAAGGATGGTAAGTTCAGACTGTGCATTACATACCTCATCTTGTGCTGCCTTAAGCTCGCGGCTGTTTTTACTGAATGCATCAATGATTGTGTTGCAGGTCTTTGGTAGTTTAGCTAAGAGAGCCAGTGCAGCCTGTACACCGTTATTTTATTGTTATATATAGAGATAGAGTATCCAAGTTACCTCCTCCATCTGGAAAGGACTTAAATCCTGTTCGGCAGAACTGTCAAGGTGTTTAGCAGAAAATCTGAAATTTACTGCTGTATGGTGCCTAGTTTCCACTAGTTATTCGCAAAATCTAATATAGCCAGCAGAAAAGAGGAGTGAATTCGCGTATTCCAGTTCAGCACTGTTAACAGTGGCCCAAGAATATCTGCTGTCTAGTTATGGCTGTCCTTGCCTTTTAAAGATAGTCTGAGAAAGTGGTTGAACCATGTTTGTAGCAATATCTTCTGTCGTCCAGAAAGCAGATGGTTTAGTTGTAGGGAAGGTAGCTCCTCAGTCCATACTAATCCTTGGCTCAACTCTTCTATTCAACATCTGAGTCTGATAAAATAACTAATTCAACGGAGCAATACTATATTATTTTCTAACAGGTGGGGCTCCAGAGTCATCCCAAAGTAACACAGTGACATTTTCTCCTGTCAGTTGAATGCTCAATAGGCCACATCCACAGGCTGTCTAGATGCTATTATATGTAGTCTTCCTAACTGGATAAGCTACCCAGCAAAAGCCTTATAACCAGAGAAAGTAGTTTTGAAGGAATCTACAATTGTCAAGCCCGCTTCCCACTATCTTATAACTACAGCTTAGTTTCATATATCATATACAGTACTCCACATCACTGGTTTGCCACAATGGAATAATCCAACGGAAAGGAAACCCCAGAATTTACCCTTCTCCATCAGCCAAACATTTCAGTCAAGGAGACTGAGGATACAATGAGCGTAGTCCCACGCACTATTAGATTAAGCATGAGTTGTGACTATGATCTTGATCAAGAAGTGCCAGATGCTTTATAAGAAATATACCAAAACTGGTAGGTCCAGAGGTGATGAACCATTGATAAGCACCTACTAAGCTGGTTAACAGGAAGGAGGCCATCATTTAAGAATATAGGATGCCTCTGCAGGAGTTTATTCTATATATTATCAAGATAAATAATCAGAATAAAATCATGATTATTGTGGAGAGGAAAGATATACTATACCTGCTTGAAGAAAATTAAACTGAGCTAAAGGTGTTAGGATACATCTGGTTCATCATCTCTCAAAGCAAGGCTGAGTTTATAAATTTTAGGTCTTCCTTTAATGACTAGTGTCTGAACTTAGGCTATACTACTAAAATGGAAGATACTCATCTTAGGGGATTGCAGGTCGCAGCGCTTGTACTATGCCGTGAAAACCATCACTTAAGAATATTAGTGAATAGCTGTTACTGGAACTTTAGATTTAATACCTAGGTGAGTCTTTACTGCTGAGTAACACCATCCAAAGCTAAGCATGAGGTGAGTGTTGAAGGAAAGCCTTTAAAGCTTTACACTAATATTTATAAGGATGTCACAGTAACTATTAGCTATAAAGGAAAACCACTTTCTCTTAAGAATTTCCAAGTGTGGCTGTGAGATATAATTAATCTACATAAGACCCCTGGGTGGATTTAAACACCATCAGGAGACCTCCTGCTGGACTAATACTATTAGGGCTACCTTTATTTAAGAGGTATATGTGTTCTGCAGCCTGTCTTTAAACTAGGGCAAGCCTTTCACTTAGATACAACTTAGTCCGGGGAACTGTTGGATGGGACTACTAGCTGTTAGTGAATGTGGAAGAAATCATGGCATACATCTACTTAATCTAGGAGAGTATAATTAAGCAAGCAGGTGATGTCATACTGCTGAAGTACCTTAAGATTTTCCAGAGTACTCCTCCCTCTACTAAGGCGCGAGGGACAGATCACCTGATCACTAAGTCTACAGCTAAAAAAATGTAGGAGTTGCTAATTCATAATTTAGCTAGCGCAGGCGTGTTCTACTACCTTAATTAATGATAAAATAATGTAAGTATAACACCCTTACTGTCCACTCATGTTATGGCTGGCTTTCACATAGCTATCTCACTGCTTCTCTGCTCTTAGGACCATCCTATAATCTAATCAGAGCTTAAGAAAGAACCTGGGACTTTGCTAGACACCTTATAGAAGATTTTTTGGAGATATAGTTTAGTCTAATACCCCAAAGAGGAGCTATATAAAATACTATAAACTTCTGAAATGGTGGGTTTACCAGAAATAGTCTTTGCATATTCTATAGCCTATACTCTCCGCGCTCTCCTCCACCTTAACCCATGAATAGAGAACACTAATATAGTTTTTGTCCACAGCGTATCTAACGTGGTTGATATGGCATATTAAGTGGAATGAGACATCCTTTATATATATAAGAAATAGTTATAGCCTCACACTACTTACTAAGGCGCTGAACAACTGGCAATACCTGAGCTGGATGTGTTTGTCTAGCAGCACACTATGGAAGATTTATATCACTGATTACTAGTAATCATTCTTAATCAGTCTGAAGGACGCTGCGCAGGTTAAAACACATAATATCTACTTAGATTGGCGTACTAGAAACTCTATTACATGCTGTGAAACATCCAGGTGACCCCTAAGGATGAAGGGTCCCTAACCATGTCATTCTATATAGGACACAGCCTCCTCTATATTAAGTAATATAGAGTATATGTTCATTATCTAATTATCCTACATTAACCAGACTATGAGGTTAGGACTAATATCCTGATATATAATAGCACTAATGATACTTGCACTTATCCCTAAAAGGCTGTCTCCTTAGCTTCACAGACGGCCAGGTTCTCCGGCCTTGACGGGGTGACTTAGACCCCAACAGTTGTTAGGATGCAAGGAAGGGATAACATTGCTAATAACAGTAGTAGCACTTCTACCTTAAAGGCTATGGATGGTAAGCTGATTAGAATTACCCCAGGCGCAGTCTTACTATTACCTTCAGCTACCAGCAGCCATGTAGTCATGGACAATGACTATAATGCTCTACTTTCCTCGCATTCTTTTTAAAGTAATAATACCTAATCCATTGCTAATCTCACAACTAAGTAAAGTGTGGCAGATGCTGCTCCTGTTCCTCCTAAGATTAATGGGATGTAAGAGAGAGTGGTAGTATCTAGGAATATTTCCCCTTAACTGCCCGCTGATATTAAACACAGTGTAGCTGTTAAAGGTAACACCTATGCAGCTTTGAATAGAATACTAGTTATTAAGAGTGACTAATGCCCCAAGGACACAATCCCCTGCAACCTATTGGACTCTAGCGCATTGATAGCAGGCCTGAAAGAAACCTTAGCTAAAGCTAGAGAAGTAAACAACTGCTTAGAAACTGATAGAATTGCAAAAGACCTCTTAGAGGGAGCCAATGCACAGCACTCTTCTATATCTTCTACCTGTCCTCATCAAGCGGCAGTAATGGACAGCCTTAAGGCATGTGAGTTATAGGAGAATAGGTAATAGCTATATAAAGTTAGCCATAATAGTTTAAGTCATAGTTTAATAGTAAGCATGACCTCTTTTGCACTTCATTATTATCTTCTAGCATAGATTGTCGTTTACTAACACCATATGGCGGTGAAAGAAGAATAAGACATACTAAAGTTATATAGAATGCCAGACCCTTGCAGCCTTATAAGAACTATCCAGAATTCTCTAAGGGCACATTTGCCAAAATTCAGATAAAATTAGTGAATGCATAATGCGACAAGATAGTCCACTATATAATATATATTCATGATATTATGTGGCCCTTCCCTAAAACCACACTTTCTCCAAAGCTCATGGTCATAAAATACTTATTTATCGCGGATAATCTGAATTTCAGCGCCAAAAGTCCAATCAAGAAGGAGAAAGAGCTTGTGCTTCATTTCAGAACTCTGGATGAAATAGGCGAAGAGAGTGATTTAGAGTGTATTTACATTAATAACATAGTGTCAGCTGACACTAAGCAAGATTAATGGACAGTCTTGCATGACTTCTAAAAGCATGGTAAGTCTAGTAAAAGAAAAAGAAATTGTCACAATATATCAGGAGAAACTAAGAATTGACTGGACAGGTCTGAATTCCAGGTTCTATGTATGATATACTATTTAAAGAGACACTCAGCCCTTATTGCTCTTTATGACCGCCCTTAAGCCTACCCTAACTAACCATAGTGGGAACTATCGCGCGCCAAACTTTTCTCTGTTGCTAGTTGTGGTTGTCATTAATTTCTTGCCAGAGGACCTGAGAATATCTTCTAGCTTTAAAGAGGAGGGATACTGCATTAGTGCTGCTATCAGCTACAATAAGCAATGCTATTAATAGTGGAAGGTATGTCCCTAAGATAGAGAGACACTGCATAGAGGCATATAACATTTGCTAAAATTAATCGCAAAGAATCTACACCTAGGAGTATTAATGATTCTTAGTAGTCCTATGTCCATCATTGCAGATCTAGAAAGTGGGAACCTGCGCTTGCTAAAGTCAGGAGGCAGTTCAGAGTCCTATATTAGAATTATTTCTAATTGGAAAGAGCCCCAGATCCTTCTATTTGCTAAATCGCCTGAGCAGGATGCATTGAATCTATTAAAGGATTATACGACTATTTTTTGGCAGTGTCATCTCACAGCACAATCCTCCTTACTGAATCTCAATTTCATCGTGCTTACTGTTCTTCAACTAACTGCTAACCAGGAATTTTTGATGCTCTTAGCTGATACTATGGCTGTACTTTTGGAACAAGGGTATTCGGTCACTGTTAGGTTAATTATTCCAGATTATAGAGAAGAGAAAGAATAATATTATGTTCTTCTTTTATTTGCTGCACCATGCAGTATAATCCCATAATGGATTAATAAGACACTCTCTGATATTCAGCTTATAAGTCTTAATAGTAGCCCAGCCTTAGATAATAATGCAGGGTCTATTACAATGGCAGAAACTTAATATTCAGCAAATTCAAGATCAGTCACCGCCGCAGCCCTTCTAGAAGATAAAGCGACCTATGGCCAAGCTACAGTGGGCGATAGTTCATTGCTGATACCTGATATTACCTACCAGGCAGATCGCACTAGAGATGAATGCCAGCCCTATAGAAAGTCATGTATAATACTTGATCTGATCCCATAGTTAATATAAAATATTGTAACTATTGTCACGCAAGTCATTAGAGAGTTATTAAAGGGTTCCCTATAACCAGGTAAGTGCGCCACAAACACCCATCCAGAAGATAATTCTAAGAATGCCAAAAGGTTAAGGTTGTGAGCCCCAAATAGATGTGACATTAATTCTCACTACAACAGTCTAGTCAAATCTTCCTGCCAACTCAGAATATACTTAGAATGAGGGAGAATCGAGGCCTTTAAAATAATGACCTCTTGGTGGTGAGTTGCCTAAGTATATAGCAACTATAAAGTTTCCATTCTGTGGTAATGGACAGCACATCAAGACAAGAGAGATAAAATAGGGGTATTACTTTCCCAGAGACCGGGCCGTGTGGTCTTTTAAGTTTGTATTATAATAGATTAGCCTGTTAGGATACGCAATAAAGAGACTAAGACTAAATATAGTTAATGGGTCAGCTCTGACGAAGCCTCCACTAGTTTGAGATCACACAGTCTCTAATAGCTTATGTTACGCTATCTAAAGAGCATGTAGTTAGAACAGAGAGTTCTATCTTCATTATCTGCATATGCCTGTTTCCGTGGCGGCAAGAGACGGTAAGAGACCTGTTAGGTGAGGTCCTTGTGCTATAGATCTGATGTTACAGAGCCTATTTACTGTAAATGGATGTATTTATGTTCTATGAGCTAGAAATGAACTAGCAAATCAATAAAAATTGTATATACAATGCTTATATTGACTGGTGGGTATTATACAGGTTTGTCTACATCCATAGCCATTCTGTCAGGCGTTAAGGAAATAAAAGCAACTATGGATCTGAAGTGCCCCTTAGACAGATGGGGCTTTTGATAGAGACAGCTGTGGTATTATAGATATGTGCAATAAGTTTAAGTAGCCATACATATCGCGTTTTTAATAGTAACTCTGATGGTCTTAGCTGCCATTAGAAATAGAAACAAGTATCTACTACTCCCTGACTTAACAAGTCTATCTGCGCTTAATTTCAGGCATGAGCCTGCCCATCTAGACCCTACAATGCCAGGCTGACAGTTAGCAGAGGATCCTTTTCTGACTTCCAATGTTAACTTACAAAAATATAAGTAATATCTCCCCTGATTAGGTTATTAGTGCCTAACATGATGGTACCATTTAAGAAACCTCTTATTAGCTTTCACTTCTTCTCCCAGAGTTTGAGAATACGTATCTCTATCATGTCTGCTACTAAAAGCCGGTAGACATGAACATGCCTTTCTTAACCAATTCTATGCACTTAACTAATTACTTACTCCTCAATGTATGGGTTCTATAAGGGCTCTATAATAATGATGTTAAATGCACATGTGAGATTTAATCCTGAATTTCTAGCTTTAAGGGACACCAGCAGGACTAAACTGTCCAGTTATGAGGCGAAACTTAAAATTGCTGAGTTGCACTCTGCCAGAGTCATATGTCTGTTATACTAACAGTAATTCCAGCCGCTCCTCGCGATAGGGACTTTAATGAGATCTAGGAGGGCAGTGAAATAACTAAAGATAATAACCTTATCTCCAGTCCCTTGGTCTCTGATTGCCTTTATGATCTCTACAGCTTTTTCAATCTTTGAGCTGTTCACCTACTTCCTTAGTAAGGCATGTTAATATGCCACCTTTGCTTCATGATTCTTCTAAATATACTTTCTAATTACTGCAGAGCTTTGCTTGCTAGCACTGCCCACCTTAGATGGAGCCACCCTGTACCAAAGGGGAGGAATTATATAGTTAGTGCAGCAAGCCCCTAAGCTAATATCCATCCCACTGCTGCTATCTTTATTATCTTTGTCACCCTCATCATTCAGCCCAAGGAGCGCTTTAAGCAATGAAGGAAAGAGTATTAAGCTGCCTTAGTTAGATATTAAGAAATTATGACTCTGCATGAAAGAGCTATAGTTAGTTACTTTTTGTAAATCAACGGTCACACAATAGCTGTGGCAGCAAAACCCTATAGGCACTTCAGTACTTACTCCCTCTAGCACAGCTGTGGAGCACATCTTCCCAAAACACGCCAGACAGATACTGTGTCCACATGGTGAGAAAATAATAGGGCTATATACTCTCTCTAAATAGACAGAGCATTAGAATATAGTCTTATTATCTCTCAGATAAGTAATGACCTCCTTAGGAAGGCATAATATATTTACCACTAAGTGCTCCTTGCTCCTTAAGGATTAAAGAGCAGTAAGTGCTGTACTAGAAAGGAGAAGTATATAGCAACAAGCCTAGCAGAGGTATTATAATAAGCTTAGCATATTAGGAATTTTCTACTGTTCTCCTCTATTATTAAGATACTATTACATATAGTGCTGTATAAAGCTTTCTAGGATAGCATAGATGCATTACTCTTCCTCTATGAGGGCTATATATATGTCCTCTATAGTTACCAAAGGAAGCTCCATGATTGGTTTCCTATTAAGGGTTGTTAACTTTATTCGCTGCAGTATGATGGTCTTTAGAATACCCTGCAGTTGCATGTCTCTCACATTCTTAGTATTATTCCTTCTACTGATAGACTCTGATTTAAGAATCTTCAACCATATTAGTAAGGATGCAAGGCATGTTAATGTTTAATCTCTGCCATTAGACTTACACTATTAAAGTTATTGGTATTAATATAAGGTTGGATCCTTAAGAATTTTAATAATAAGCAGAGCTCCCCTAGGTAGTTTATTAATAGTGTTCCACTCAGACACTATCTATAGGTGGCTGTGACTTTGCAACAGGCTATGGCAGTCTTTAATCCAGTGTTTTTAATGCATTATGCCTTATCTAGAATGATGTGTTGCCACACCTGCTATCTCTAAAGATTAGTGAGTTATAGGCTTTCTGCTTCAACTTAGAATAGATGATCCTATAGGTAGTTAAAATAACCTAGTATTAATATAGATCCTGAAAGGTTAGCTGCCCTTTCCACTAATAGTACACAAAGACATGCTGGCCTAAACTAAAGATGTTCTTAGTCTCACGCTCCTACTAGTGGATCAATCCAGCGGGGTAATGATGAGAGTTAGTAGCATCTGTGCATCAGGGTAAATCCATGATTTAACAAGTGAGAGGGCTTATATAGTCTTTCCTAACCCTATATCATCTGTAAGAATTCCTCCCTTCCACTTGCTATCTTCCATGGATTTCATCTAAGTCACCCCTTCTACCTGGTGAGTCATCAGGGCGATCTTGAGCGGTTTGACATAGCTGTCTGTTCTAGCTCTAGCTGGCAAAACAGTGGTTCTCTTACTGTCGCGTGAGTACATCTTAGCATATTCCAGTGAACCAAGTCTGCAGTTCAGGGTGCTATGTACCCATATTAGGTCTATTCCAGAAACTAAATACAGTAGGTAAGGGCTTATATTAATTGGGAAATCAGTAAAGGATGCGTGGTATTAGATAAGTAATTTGCTAAAATGCCTGATCCAGCTCCTGGGTCCAGAGGGAGACTGGTATTCTGGGCCTGCATGCTTAAGGTAGGATGCAGACTGGATCCTGATTTGCCGCCAGTTTCCAGGTTGGAGGGTATGGCAAGTGAAGGAAGATCTTCCTGGTGACCTAGGGAGATCTAGGCCCTTGGTACCTTACAATAAGTGCTACCCCAGGTGTCACACAGAATGCTAAATCTCCCAGAACTATTAGTAGATACTGTGTTATTACCCTCACCTACCCCCTTCTCCAAAACTAATAGGTTTATGCAGAGGATTTCACCTCTCACCACTGTATCAAAATTCCTACTCAAGCCCGGACTGATGGGCTGCTAGTATATATACTAATCTGGCAAAGCCTGTTAGACAGCTGGGATGGAGAGCTGTAAACTGCTGCTTTGTACTACCATGATAGGGGAAGTAAGGCGTTGCGGTCTGGGCTAGGGTTGTTATTTTCGCGGGTTGGGCCGGGTTATGCCATCTTTTGAACCCAACCCGGCGGGTTTGGGTTGTAGATTTCTAGGGCCTAAACCCAGCCCATAACCCAGCAGGTTGACTATCTAGAACCCACTGGGTTCTATTCTGCTAATGATGTTATTCTCCACCTACTAAATCTAGTTAGTATGGGCTGGGTTGGGCCCGCGAACCCGCCAAGCAATATTCAACATGTAAAACCATACTAATATTTAATAAATATAAATATACAAATAAGAATTATATTAATTGAGCTAAACCTCTATTATAAAGCATTAATGAAGTAGTATAATATATATAAGGTATAAAAGTCTAACCTAAGTTAGATTTTCATGTAGGTTTCCAGAGGGGAACCTTATCTATAATGAATATATTAGACTCACTGGTTCTTTATAGTGAATATTAAGTATATATTTCTCAAACTTAAAGACTCTAAGTTAAATAAAGAATACACTACTACCCATAAATTATTCACTTTAAGCCTTGAATAAGCTGTAGTTATAGAACAATAGGCAAGCATGTACATATAATAATATCTTATAATTCTTTATACTTAATCAAACTCTCCTTCTTATTAATTTTTATTTATATACAGACCACCTATTTACTGTATAAACCACCTACTTTATGTACAGACACCTCCTGTTATATATAGAGCCTTACCATCTTCCCTTTTTCTATGTGCACAGAACACTATGATTAGCCTTAATTAATTTAATTAAATCTAACTTAGGTTAGATTTGATCTCCTAGATAGT